TGACAAAGAGTTGGTGTATGTGTGTTATCATGTTTTTTCTCTTAGCCTAAACAAAACTGAGTGACGTTCTGATGTCTGACTAAAAGGTAACACCTTCTGGGGTGTAACCAGGAAGGGATGAACATTATAAGCTCAATTCATTATTATAGTAGAAAGAAGTTGTCAGTGTTTTGCAGAGTGTCTGCTCAGAGCAGAGCTCCCGTGCTTGTTTTGATTCAGCCCAAGTTTGTACACTGAGGCCTGTGCTGCTGAGCGCTGAATGAACCTGATTAGAGTCAGAAGATTGAAAATAAAGTTTTGAAGAAGAAACACAGCTGAATCCTGTTTATTCGGACATACCATTTTGAACAACGCATATTTTTCCAACATCTCTTCAAGACACCATACTTTCCATGTTGCCTTCAAATCACTCTTACATTTGTCCAGTAAATCACTACAATATTCTTTCTTATGTTTTCTTATAATCCATACTATTTTGTTTTTATATTCTTGGCAAGGTTTTAAGAACAGTGAGAAACTGATCATGATCATTCAAGAAAATAAAATCATCTTTTTATCTCAAGAAAATGGCCATTATATTGTGATAATGACATAATTAAAACCATAGGAAAAATTATATGCGGAAAACATCTGGTCTCTGCTTCAATAGAGCTACACCATGTTCCTGACAGGAAATTTTAATTTAACGTCCTGGATTTTACACAAAATTAAAATGAATGTTCTTAATTGTTCAAGTTTGTTCTTACAGCAAGCCTTTTRATGGCCTGCAAAAAAGAATCACAAGGACAACTCCAGTAAAACTCATAAAATAGTATTATTCATATTTATGTAAAAAAAKCACTGTTTTGCAGGATATTCTGGTACCACTTACCCAAATCCAGACATGTCCAGAGTCATAATTTCATCAGACATGCTAGTAAAGCAGCTCCCCCAACAGCTTCCTTCATACTACAGCACACACTGTGCACTTAGGTGATTTTTTTTTTTTTTTTGCGCTGGTAGTGAATAACAAATAGAAAAATTCTAAATGTTTTCAAGTTTATTGCAAATTAATGAAGCAAATAATAATAATAGGAATATAGAAAATATCATCTTGATATTACTGATTCTATTGATCTATTCAGTGGATGTAAACAAAAATCTTGTGTAACATAAAGTAACACACAATTTGTGCATTGATAGATGGGTGGGTAGGTAGGTAGGTAGGTAGAACAGTTTTCTAAATTA